CAAAAGACTCAACAGCGAAAGAAGATAAAACCAACATGATCTACGAAATAAATTGTAACAACTGCGAAAAACACTACATCGGCCAAAGTGGACGTCCTCTTCGTCTTCGTATCCACGAACATAAGCTAGCCGTCAAAAGACATGATATCCACTCCCTCATTTCACTACACACAGACAACTACGGACATCAATTCGACTGGGACAACGTTCAAATATTAGACAAAGGAAATAACAAGAATGCTAGAGAATTTTCAGAAGCTTGGCATTCCAGTGAATCACCAATCAATAGACACATCGAGATAGACAAAAGCTATCAACCAATAAGAAAGAAACTTCACACACAAAGGGTCAAAGTTCAAGTCAAAGAAACAACCGGTTCCAATGCAAGTAACCTAGAAGGTGTGAAAACACACACAAACAACCAATCACGCCCAAGGTCACCAGGAGGAATGATTAATAAACTCGTGGAGAAATCTAAAAGCTCACTTCAAATTGAAGTATGCGCTGAAGATGTCACCCAGTAGGGTGATGAAAGCTTCGCAAACTAACCATCCAGCTCAGAGAACAAAACTACATCAATTTTATCTGTTTTCTGTCTTACCTCGCCCCACCCCCCTCACTCCTTTCCACTTTAAAAGCGTATAAATTGATGATGAAATCTCAAACTAGAAATTGCAATGCTTACATTTTGGATGTGTCAATTTCATAGTATTTCTTCTCTACTACCACTTAAACATTAAAGTATGTTATTACCATTTATATAAACATTGTAATTTCAGGTAGTGTTGTGCAGCAGATGAGAACCTGTGAAATAGAATGATGATGCATCATTTTATACTGCAAATTTCGTCTTCCTTTCTTTATCGAAATTTATCAAGGAAACCAAATGTATGAAATATTTTTAACATATCCCACAACGCATTTCATGCTTAGATGAGTTTATCTTTATGAATCATTTTTTAATAATAATAATAATAATAATTTGCTTTATTCCAAAACAGTACTTGTGATACAGAATGGAATTCTCAACATTTTACTACAGTATTGAATCCAGTTAGTACATTAACAATAAATATAGTTCTACATAGATTAAGGTAATCTCAGTTTATTATAACAGCAACATATTGGCATGTCGGTAGCGAAGCCAAAATTTACTGGCGTAAGCGGTAACAAAAGGTCGAGATATGCAGAGTGTGAAAGAACGAAGAAGAATGTTTTAATAGAGTTAGTAAGCAAGAAAGAAACAAAGCAGCACATAACAGAAAGAGAGAGAGAGAAAAGGAAAAGAAAGAAAGAAAACGTTGTACCTATAAATGATATGACTTGGAAAAACCAGATCCAGTTGTTCTACTGACTATTTAATAAGTTATAGGTATCACGCCTAATGCTTTCTTTATCACACAGAACACGAGCTAAGTAGGGTATAGTTGAGTTTTTGTACTTGCTAGTGCGAGCATACAGTTTCCTATATAGGCTTCTGGTTCTGCCTGATGAGATACAAGGGGAGAGTTGTGAATGAAGAGGGTGATGTGAGTTAGATAAAATGGATTTAGCCCATTTTTCAGATGAGTTCAAGTGCCTGTTGACCAGAATATTAACAAGCTGGTTAAGTGGCACGTTGCTTACCCTGTTGACAACCTTTAACATCCTGCGTTATAAGGCATAGTCTTTCTTCAGTAGCCCAGGACAAACTAAGGGGGACAATAGAGAATGATAGGCAGAATGCGAGAGTTAACGAATTGCAGGAGTAAGGGTTGGGGGTATACCAGAACGTCTTAACTTCTTGATGTATAAGGTAAGACGGAATATTTTCTTAGAAATCATCAAGATATGAGACGACCAAGAAAGATCAGCAGATAGAAGTAGACAAGTTGAAACAGGATTGTCTCAATAGAAAATTTCTAATTTAAATTTCTATATTTCAGAAATCTTTTTAAGTATGTATATATCAAATGTCTTAAATATATCTTTGGACAAATCAATAAAGCCATAGAGATGAACTTTACTAAACTGACATCCTGTTCAATAACTGTATTCCATGGTAGAATAGATTGCCTTGTCAAATAAAACAATTAGAATAAGGTGATATATATATATATATATTTAAACATCAGTTTATTGTATAATATTTTTGAATAATTTGAAATCAAATTTTTATGCATTTAAATGGAATGCCATTTCTACTCTTAGCTATTGCCTGGAGTATGTATTGTTGTGCAAGTTCTGAAGGTAAAAAGTGATTCTGTTTTACTTATCATTGTATCACTAAATTGTAATATTAACTTCTTTAATAGTGGAAACATCTAGTATACCCAATTAAAATTAGTTGAAATTATAGATTTCACTGATGTTTGGCTTAGTTTTGTTCTCTGAGACGGTTGATTTAATTCCGAAGCTTTCATTGTCCCTATTCTTGACAACATCTTCAGAGCAGGTTGTAGTATAGCATGAACTTTTAGAGGCTGACGGTATTGACGTTCACGAATTGTACACAGTATAGTAACGAAAGATCTTATACGAACAACTTCTAAAGCATTCGTTTCTCGTGTACCAAAGGCAAAGCAAAAGACTACAGGAGGAATTATTTACTGCTACAAACTTATCTGAATTCTCCATGAATGATGATATATTTCTATCTCTTGACAACCTCCTTTGTCGTGATTGGCTGTTAATTTACGTCTCTATTGGTCATTTTTGTTGACTGACTTGAAATTTGGACTTTCTTGTCATGTAATTTGCTTTTCATCAGTTCGTAAATTCGGTCTATAGTAATGTGTTGGTTAATCGTTGGCTGATTCACTTGTGTATCAGGCTTCTAGAAATTCCCTGGCACTTTTGTATTTTGTCTGTTTAGAATTTCTACACTATCCCAATTGAAATCCGTCTCTGTGATTATCTACATGCATCAATATGAAAGAATACGTGACGTGTCTTTCCTTGCATGTGGACTCGAAGAGGTCGCCCACTTTGACCGATGTGGTGTTTATTGCAGTTCCTGCATGCGGTTTATTTTGTAAATGGTATTGATCTTATCTTATTTTTCCCTGTTGGATCTTTCGGTTTACACAATATCGAATGAAGTGATTGTGTTGGCTGGCTGACTTGTGTGCTATATCTATTTTAAACGGTCTATTTGTATTCCAGCTATTATTTCTGAGATAATTTCTTTTATATATGATTGAATGAATTTCTTGTGGTCTTTCATGATGGTTCCTTGTTGGTATTATGGCATTATGTTACAAAAGTCTTGCTGAAGGATGAATAAAATAAGTAACTCAAGTCTTCTTTCAGTCAATGGATAATCTTAACAACATCCAACCTTTTTGTATCGAGAAATAGTTAATGTAGCCAACAGGATTAATGGAGTCAGAAGTCAAGTATATTGCACGTTTCTGCTGTAGACTATATCAAGCCATATTCATTGTATACTTTAAATCATCGTTTGAAGAGACAACACCGTGTTCAATTTTACGATGATGAAATATATATGACCAATACAATAGGAAAATTTCACGAAATTTCTATGATGGAAAGACTAAGGAAAATTGTGATACTCATCTGAGACAGTTAGCCTGTATACCGTTAAGAGGAGAGAAACACACCAATCAACGCATTATAGTCTAAAATCGGAGAAACCAATCCACGTGTTCTACACTGTACAACCGGTCTGAACTTCATTGAATTACATGCAGTGACAAAATGCTCCAAGGATAACAAAAAGATGATTATTCCTTGGGAATTCTATGTCAACAGTGCCATTAGACAGCCATACAGACAAGGTAAATTTCAATGCACAAGACGAGTACTGGAGAATAAAATTAGTTAACCAAAAATACCTGAGAATCAAGTAGAATATTTCCAACACGGTGGTGGGGGGGGGGGGGTCGAAAACTCTGTCCACAAGAATCACGCACCAGACCTTGACTCACTCAAACAAAATCACATCGTATAACAATATATTTAACAATATGTTTATTATCAATGTATCATCACACACACAGTCACAAAGAGAAGCAATAGAATTAGGAGATCAAATAGGAATCAGGACCATTAAGTAGGATCAAGTCAACATGTGATATGCAAATGTTTGAAGACTGAGTGATATACAGTCGAGGAGAGAGACGGTTAGTAATTACAAATTTAGTTGTAACATCTAAATAAGTGTCAGCATTGTAATTAGATCATTCAGGGGGAATTTTCCAAATAGTTATTATTTCATTACAACCGTTACTACTGAAAAGATTTAAATTAACTCCACAGATGAGCTCAACAAAAATGAAATGATATAGAATTTAATTGGTGGATTGTGACTAGCAGTGGAAACCAGAATGCACATTTCGTCCTATTCGGGACTCGTCATCTGGACACACCTGTATTTCTCGACGGGAAAATCTAAAATTCAAATAAATTAATATGACCAGTTGCACAAAAGGCGGCTGGATCTCATGGCTCAAGTGGTCTAGTGGACAACGCTATGGCGTTTGAAGCTATGGGCACTGGGTTCGTGCTTCGGTGGGAACATCATCACTCACTGGGTAATAGAGGCATATCCAGATGACAAGTGTCAAATAGGACAAAATGCGCATCCTGATTGGATTCCACTGCTAGTCACTATCTACCAATCGGATACTAATTAAATGCCCAGACATAGTCGAAGCATCTGCACAAGAAGTCGATATGCCAACCTCAGACCAAGCATTTCAGTCCAATTAATCGATGGGAAAATCTAAAATTCAATTAAAATGATGTGTATAGTTTATGAAATAATTCTAAGGTTATGTAATGATATATGCTTCGTAGTTTTGTGGCTAGTTACATGAATTGTTTCATGAAATAAAGTGTTGTAGCATGTCCTGAGAAGCTGACTAGTAGATAATTTACAAAGTAGCATATGACGGTTTACCTTTCTAATGGGTTCTATAAACTTTAACATCATAAATTGCTATTAGTATCTGAATAAAAGTACATTACTTAATTATCAAAACTGTTTTCATCTGAGAATGTTATCTACGGGTGGATTTAGTGGTGATTTTATTCGTCATCTTGAAGTAATCGCACAGATCGCATTTATCTGCTTTCATTTTCAATGCAGCTGTGAGTTATTCTTGTGGATCGTTATATGTAATCCACAGAGAAATCAGTTCCTCAATTCACTTTTATTCCGGATAAATAAGAAGCGAACTCTAATTTGTCTTTAATCCAATTTTGATTTCCCCACAGGCTGATTGGATCGAAATATTTGGCCTCTGTTGATATGTTAGCTCCTAGTACCGACGCTTCAATGATGTTTGAGGATTAACTTGAAATGATCCTGGTGGATGGTGACTAGCAGTGGAATCGGAGAATGAGCCTTTCGTCCCAATTGGGACTCATCATCTGGATTTTTTGCATTTCAGTGGGTGATGGTGTTCCCATTGAGCCTCGAGCTCAGCATCCATCGCTTCAAACTCTAAAGAGTTACCTAGTAGACCACTTGAGCCACAAATAGTAACTGACACCTGCTAAGCAAGAAGTGGTTCTCGCAGCCAAAATGGTCTATTGGATGACTCCTTGGCATTTGGTCCGTGTTCCAGTGGGAACACCATCACTCACTGCGAGTGCGAGTACTTCTAGATGATGGGTTACAAAATACGATGCAGTGCGAATCCTATCCACTAAATTACTACGAGCAGGGGACACTTAATCAAAAACGATAATTCTTTTACATACACTTAAGTTGTGAATTTGTTCTAAAGCTTACAATCAAAGTTATGTCATTGTCACAATGAAGACGATTTTACGCGTCAGTTATATTGGACAAGCTTATTAAACATTTGGCTGCTTTAACTGATATATTTTTTTATAATTTTTCAGGTATTTGCCATCTGCCTCCAGAATCTGGACGTTGTCGAGCTTTGATCACTGCTTTTTACTATGATCCAAAGTCAAAACAGTGTAAAACTTTCTTTTATGGTGGATGTGGTGGGAATGCAAATCGATTTCCATCGAAGAATGAATGTGAAAAAGCATGTATGACAAAGTCTGTCGCAGATGTTGTTATACCTTCAGTCATTTCTGCTGTGATTATGTAGTCGAAAGTAGAGAATCTGAGAATTTACAGTTTGTTTTCTTCTGAACCGGTCTAGTTTAGTTAACAGAAATAAAATAGGAAAATGTAATACACTGGTTTTCCTTTCATGTCAGATAAGCTCATATCTGAAGTAACTTACAGGGATACAGTATTAATAACTGGATGGCGTTTTGAGCATAAATTATTGCTCATAACAGTGTCAGTTAGTCACACGGCTTCATGGTTTGATTTATTTAGGTATTTTTTCCTCTCCATTCTCCCTATTGTTTGTTGCCACTTTCTATATCTCCCGTATAGGCGTTGCTTCATTTCGATTGCACGTGTGCTGTTCTAAGTCGATAAACAAAGACTCAGTGATCAATCTCTCTCCCACTCTACTTAACTATGTTGCTTTTTAATACTTTCGCCCAGTCCCACCATAGTGTTGATTAAATGCAGGGGAATGCAATGCAACGGACGAGCAATTTTCTAGGTTATTTAAATTAACAGGGTCAGTCATTCTAGGTCTAGCTAAACTCCTGTTTTCCAATAATCTAGGTGACCGCAGTCTACTAGTTTGACCTATGCAATTGACCTCAAAGTCATTACATGGTATCCAATATATTATATCACTTTTCTTAATTGGATCTACTGGGTCCTTAAGCCAACAAAGTTTACCTCTGAGGCAATTGGTTGGTTTAAATGCCATGATAATTTTAGCCTGATTAAGAATCCTACGTAAGGCCTCTGATATTTCTCCTTTTTACGGCAGTACTACAAAGGCTTTGAATTCTATGATATTTCTGTTATTTTTTTGTCATTGTCACTACTAATCTTATCTATTCTATGGGTCTTCATCCATTCCTGAATAAAACTTGGTGGGTAGTTGTTAAGATAAGCTTACATTTCTACCGCCGTGCCAAGTCTACACTTATCTAGGTGATTTTCCTTTTTTAAGTGGAGGATAACGCCTTGACGATTAACTGGTGGATGGTGACTAGCAGTAGAATCGTGGAATGTGCCTGCATTCTTCAGTGAGTGATTATCTTCCCATTGAGGCTCGAACCCAGTGCTCATAATTTCAAACGTCAAAGCACTATTCACTAGACCATTTGGACCAAGAGAGTCACGTCTTGTGCAACGGGTCTTATTAATTATTTAATTCAATTTTAGATTTCCCCGTAGATTCATTGGGCTAAAGTGGTCTAGTGGATAATGCTTTGGCGTTTGAAACTTTGGTTACTGGGCTCGAGCCTCAGTGGGAAAAACATCATTCACTGGGGAATGTAGGTACATCCAGCCGTCAGTACTGTTCAAGATATCAGTAAACCTGCCTGTCCCTAAGATACCATGAAGATCCCATAATCAGTTCAGTCTTCTAAACCAAGTTAAGGAATCCGCTTAGTCTAATTAATACAGTCAAATGAGGTCAATTTTAATACACCGGCACATAGCATATCCTGGGACTTTCGCAAGGCTTTCGATAAGGTTTCTTATTCAGGCCTTCTAGCAAAGGTAGGTGGTTTTCAGTATGACAAAGTGGTGACAGACTAGATTTAGGACTTTCTCAGGGATATAGAACAGAGATTAAAGGATAACGGCGTCCTATAATCATGGTCATGGGTAAAGAGTAGCTTGTCACATCGTACCAGTCTATGCACTCTTCTTGCTTTATGTAAATGTGACAGTCGTAATACTAAAATCATTCTGTTTAGTCTTCAGCAGTGGCAATTAGCTCCTGAAGGATAAACACATAGACAGCAAGCCACTTGTTTCACAAAAAAAATTTAGACCTATTGGCTGAATGATGTAAACATATGGCTTTGAAAATTGATATGTGTCAGTGTTGCCATGCATAACAGCTAATAACAGCATGCATAGCTAATTAATTACCAGTGTTACTCTATTGAAAACTTACGAGTATAACGATTTAAGAGTAATTTTAAGCTATTAAGTGAAAATCTGAGCCAACCGTAGATGAGTGACTGAGAAGAGTTTCGAAATATTATAGGCTTCTCCTAAGAACTTTATAAACATTGATATTGATATATATTTTGTATATTATAGCTCACCTACTAATTTATCTAGAGAGAGCTATATGCTTCTATTTTATTTGTTTTATTTTATTCCTTTACGTTCCCAGTGGAACACAGACCGCTTCAAGCCTAGAGCTTTGAAGTTTCAGTAGTAGTGGTGTTTATTTTTACGGGGTAGGGTTGTTAGCCTCAGGGCAAACCTTCCCTTTTCATCAGACTTACTAACAGCTTAGAGAGGTTTAGGAGTGCGTCGGCCGAAAATCGAACGTTGGACCATGTACGTGATTGGCGAGCGCCCTACCTCTGGACATCCAACTCACTACAAGATCATATCCATCATAAAATCAAGGATATCGGGATATATTTCAGACTCCACCTCTCATAAGTTAAATGTCAACAATCATACTAAATTATCGGAAACAACAACGTAAGCTGTTGTGACCACAACAGATTACACAGTCAGGTCAGGAATCAGGAAACTGTGATGACTGACACGTGGTTGATACAAAGCGTAATAAAACACATAAGTACGTAAATATAGAAGAATGGACTTTAACAAGTAACATGTATTACAATGTATAAAATTCAAGTTACAATATGCACAATGATAGCATTTGCGTCTGCATTTTTAAAAATCACACATTGACAACGATAAGCATTACGTAGCACAAAACGATAAGAAGAGATATATAAATTATAAAATACCCTATGCATTAGCTTTTTAAGTTAGTGGTGACAAATATTAAACTAATAATCACAGGTATTTTGTTTGAAGGCATAATTTGAAAATCCATATCAGTCACTACTGTCACCTTCATCGTATATAAGACCCGAAAAAGCTGGTGTTATTTATTGCTTATTATTAGGTTTTCCACAGTTACACGCCTTTTCACAAGCTTCTTTTGAAGGGAATCGATTTCCATTACCACCACATCCCCCATAGGTGAATACTTTACACGTGTTTGAGCTTGGATCGTAGTAATACGATGGAATAGCAGCACGACAACGACCTGTGTCTGGCTTCAGTAGACAACCGTCTGAAATATTCAAAGTTAAATTGAAATGCTAAGGGAGGGGGATGAAAACTCCATTATATATAAAAGTTTATTTTGATAAAATCACACAGTGTTTTTTACAGTAACATTTACTTTTGACCAAGTTTCGAGCATAATATATCACTGGTCATAATCATATCAAGGTACTCACACAACTCTCTTGCTTTATTTATGTACGTAAGTAAACATTTATGATTAGACATTTGAATAAAATCTATATAAGACAAAGTACATTCGGAAATAATATAAGGTTAGAAATCAAATACAATTATATGGGAAACAAGATGTTTTCATAGTAAAAATAAATAACTTTTTTTTGATGTGTTTGTGTTCTCTGAGCTGGATGGTTAATTTGCGAAGCTTTTATCACCCTACTGGGTGACATCTTTAGCGCATAATTCAGTCTGAAGTATGCGCTGAAGATGTCACCCAGTAGGGTGATAAAAGCTTCGCAAATTAACCATCCAGCTCAGAGAACACAACCACATCAAAATCATCCACCTGAGCTACACATCTTCTCTATCATATCTAAATAACTTTTTAGAACGTTATAATGTGAACTGAATACATTTTAACATTATTTATCATCCTCTGATTTAACTGGTGGTAATAATATCTTCCATATCTCTGGTATTCGCAACGAGTCACTTCTGTTGCATGTGTTTTGTTGGGTGTAGATTCACTCGATGTGGTCGTTTGTTAATGCGTGCAATGCTATTGCTGAGTTTTTTTCTAAATTACTTATCTTCGTGTGATCAGTCATTCTAACCTTAGCTGAATTCTTAAGTTCTGATAATCTCACTACTCGCGATCAACTAGTCTAATCTATGTGGTTCACCTAACTTACAGTCTTTGCAAGGTATTTTGCAGATTATATTATTTCGTCTAATTGAATCCACTGGGTCCTTTAGTCTACACAGCTTGTCCTACCTGAGTGAGTTTGTAGGTTTGAATACCACCACCCTAATTCCTGCTTTATTGAAGAATGTCGTTTTAACTGTACATAACCAAGTTGTGTATGTACTGGTGTATTTTCAGTACGCGTAGAATACATGCCATGCAATTTATGAGAGACTCAATTTCACCGAATCATATAACATGACAATTTTAAAAGATTGGGGAAGAATATTCATTCTAAAGCTAGAAAAAAACCTTTTTCTGAATGCATGTAGCTAACTGATTGCAACTAGCAGTAACTACACCAACGCCTTATTGTAGATAAGGCAGAAACTCATGAACATTGTAACATTGCCTATAATACTAATAATCGCTTAATTTCAAATACGTAAAGAAAATAACGTGGGTCAGTGGCACATAGGTAGAATGCTTACCAACCACACAGGTGGTTCGGAGTCCAATCCCTGGCCGCCGACGCACTCCTACATTACCTCGCTAAGCCAGTAGTAAGACTGGTGAAGAGGAAAGGTTGGGTTAGGTAAGCCTAACAATACCATCCCGTAAACATAAACACCATTACTACCGAAACTGCAGAGCTCTAGCCTGAAGCCATATGTTCCACTGGGAAAGTAAAGGAATATAATAAAATAAAATCAAAACAGCAAAAATGAGTTGCATAGATTACCTTCACAGTCAGCGCAGAGATGTATTTTGAACAAAGAGATCAAGATGAACAGTATGCAGAATTGTTGGGAAAGCATAGTAGTGAAAACCAGTTGACACAAACCGATTGTTATATATGGACACTTATATCACGAATATATATATATATATTTATTTCGAATCATTACTTCAGTTAGTGATATAAACAAGTGGACAGCATAGTTGATTCCTCCAACGATTATATGTCGCCGATAACGTCCGAGAATACACCGACAATGGATTGATTGGACATGATCAATACATTTTCTAAATACCATTTTATGAAATTAAACTTCTTGACAGTTATTCTACCGAATCCGTCGTTCTCAATTTTATTTTCAAATATATTTTAATGTCTTTTTTATTTTTAAAAATATTGATTATTTTACACAAAGTTTGACATACATAAACAATCATATTCGGAAGTAATTTGAATCTTCAGTGGGTGTATTTTACTTGTTTGGTTAGTTACTGTTGGAAATAACCAACATTTAGCAGGCTGAAGACATCGGTCTTACAGTGTAACTGAGTAATGAGTCAATAAAGAAAACTAGATCTTATTATATCCACTGGTTCTGTGAATTCACATTAGCATTATTACTATTTGTTCTCTTAGGTTCAGAGTGGACCATAGGGCTTTAGCAGCATATCTCCGAGTCGTTCTGCTCTCCACCATCTTTTTCATCTAGCTCTACAGCTGAGCATAAACTTTCACTTCCTCTATACACGATCTTCTCTACTATCTCGTCAAACCCCTAACTTTTCGTTTACCATTCTAGTTTCACTCGAGACTTCACCTGGTACTCGCCTTCATGTATCAAACTCCTCAGAGTATATCCAATCCCTCTCCTGTTCCTACTGGATATTTTTTGGATTCATGGTTAGTTTTTTTCCAGAGGTACTTGTTGCCTATCCCTCATGGACATCTAACCTTCAGTATGCATCGAAGAATGCCGTTTGTAAAAGTTTGAAATAACCTGCTGGAAATGCTTTTCGTGACGTCAGTACGTCATCGCTGAATCGTACGTGACAGAAACTAAGTAAGCGGGTCATGAAAAGCATTTCCAACAGGCTGTTGTGAAGCTTTATCAACAGCCGGCTTTGTTAGAGAGATACTAGAGTTCAGATGGTAGGCTAGAAAGAATTAGCACCAAGAAAATCTGGGGACGAAATGACGTCTGAGAACCTATTGCTCAACAAATATTTCAAAGGAAATAGAGATATTGATTTAGTTGGATTCTCTGAACTAGTCGATTTAATTCCGAAGCATTCGTTGTCTCCCTTCTAGACAACTTATTCAACACAGGTTTTAGTATAAAATGAATCCATTGACATTTTTAATGAATGATGATATAATTGTATCTCCTCCTCACAACCGTCGTCGTGATTATTTTATTATTTTTTTATTTTTGATAACAGCTTGATTCCACACTATATTTCTGGTACAAGTATGGAATTTTCAGCATGGATATCGGTAGCCCAAATTTTTCAGGCCGACCATAGATATCAGCTGTTAATTTAAGTCTCTACTGATAATTTTTGTTGAGTCACTTGGAATTTGAACTTTCTTCTCATGTGATTTATTTTTCATTAGCTGGTAAATTCTGTGTGTGTGGTAATGTGTTTATTAATCTCTGGCCGATCCACTTGTGTACCAAACCTCTAGGAAAATTCCTGGCATTTTTAGTGTTTCCTCAATTTCCCCGATTAAAATAAGTTCATTTCATGGTGAAAACTGTACTGAAGATATAATCTAAAAGGAAAACGAAAGATTCGCAATTAAATCAACCAGCTCAGAGAACACAACTAATTCAAAATCATTCACATGAAGTACAAATATTCTCTATTCTTTCTAAAGGCAGATGGATCAGATATCCGCTAAGAAGTCCGTCGAATGACGTCGCGAGCAGTGTAGGCCCTCAAGTTGAACCTGAACAGGAAACAACAAGTTGGGGATGTGGCCAGAGATGACATGGAGGAGAACTTCTGAGGAGGAGATGAGAGACTATGAACCTCCTTAGAACCAGCTAAAGAGGATCTTAGACAATAGGGAAAAGTGGAGATATGTCGCTGAGGCCATTCGGAACCCAAGAGAACAATTATTATCATAGTACATTGAAGATTACTTTTTCTACGCCTCCAGTTGTGATTATGAAACCGAAAGAAGAAATACCTAGTCTATTCACCTCTTCTGTGTAACACCTTGGATCAGTTGTTGCTGTATCTGTTCATCGGAACATCTAACAGGTTGTAGTAAAAATCCCTGATAGTTTGAGATGAGAACACGTGAAATAAACAGACCATGAAAGAAGTAAAGGAGAATTCTTTTCTGTCACCTATTGTTTATCTAGCCGGAATTTGGTATACAAAAGAGATAAGATGAGTAACTACTGCTATCCAGGCTAGGTACGGAATGCACTAATTCACAAATTCTGTATTGAGTAATACCTCTTAGGTTTTAGCTTTTGTTCTCTGTGCATATATTTCTTCATCTATAGTTTATTTCTCTAATAAAAGTCATCACGATCATCCTATTCATCGGATTTTCCGTATCTTTACAATCCTATAGAGAAATAACACACATAGCGTGTTCTTCTCTTCATCTTCAGTCAAAGCAAGAAGAACAAGACCCAGAGTATGATGAGTGCGAACATTTTTCTTTCAAGGCTTTTCCTCAGTTGCAGGCAGCCGAAAATAAACATAAGAATATTAAAAAATAAAAAAAAGTGCATTTTGAAAAATTCTCTTCAGTAGAAGTTTATTTATTTATATGCGTGAAGATAGTAGTAGTTTAAAGAAACAGCAATGAATGAAATGTGATGGCTGACACATTACAGCTGACACCAAAAGAAATTATTTGAGTTTAGAAAAGATTGAAGAAACTTTGGTCAGTGGCTTTACAATAAAACACTAATTAGTCAAAGCGAAACACATAGTTCAGAGAAGAGTCTCTTTTCGGCGATTTCATTTATTTAGCTGTACAGTAGCAGTGAGTCGGTGGCACAGTGGTTAGGACTCTCGCCGACCATGCACATGGTCCGGGGTTCGAGCCCGCACCGACGCACACCTGATATCTATGGTCGGCCTGCAAAATTTGGGCTACGATATCCATGCTGAAAATTCCATACTTGTACCGAAAATACAGTGTGGAATCAAGCCGTAAATAAAAAATCAAAAAAGTCAAAATCAGTTATCGAAAATACCAACTGATTCAAAAAGAAAATAAAAGACAATTCAGCGTGGATATCAATCTGTGGTCAAAGTTTTATAAACAAATCTAATCCTTATATATGTCCAAACCAAGTTCACTTTTAACGGTTTGAAAAAATTTGGGCATTGGGTATATGATATTCATTATAATAGAGGTTTTTTGTATTTCCCAATGAATGAAAAACAAAACGATACTGTTGCTCTTACTGACGTTTCGCTATTTAATGCTGCTAATAGCTTTATCAGAGTATTATTAAACCGGAATTTACAAAATTTCAGCATATATATAACAAAGAGTTAGGGGTGAGAAAAATATAGACTTAGTCCAACTTAAAAGGACATATTGAAAGTCAAAATAACAATGAAGATCGTTCAAACCAAATATCAAAGGTAATAGTATATCTGTTATTATTTCAAAATAAAGTTTACTAACTTGATCATCGTTCGTCAGTCTGGGTTTTATTTTGTTGTCAAGTTGGCGAACTGGTAAAGATAACAAAATCAAGTGTAGATTGTTGGATTTTGTCAGTGTGTAGAATTATGAAAGTATCTAATCCTTAAAAACCAACTGTAGAAAGTTAATCTGATGCTCGCTAGTGACTTGCTGTAGGACAGAGTTTCCTGGAGTTATAGTTAGAAGTCGTGACCAGTGAGGTTCATCCAGTCAAGTGTGAGGATGGAGTTCCCACTGTTGACACTAGTTGGTGATCACCCTAAATCATGAATTGGTAGAAATTAGAATTCATGGGCTATTGAATCGAGTCCCAGTAGCTGAATGGTATACGAGCTTACTTTGTAACTGGAAGGTCCTGGGTTCGAACCTACTGTGGTGGTTACGTACTGCCAATCATTACCAAAGTAGGATGAAACACCTGTCCAGTACTCCAATGCTAGTTTTCGATGGTTTTCTAACTGATATCAATCCGTGGTCAAACTCGTATAGAGAAAGATAAATAGTTTAATGAGTGATTTGTGATTAAGATGCACATGGAAATAAGGAAAATATGGAATTAGGTTAGAGTTGTGAAGAAACACAAGAGTTATCAGGAGCTAGAAAAGCAAGTACACAGACATCAAGTCAGTGGAAGTCAGCACGGTTGTTACCATGATAGTTGAAGTGGCTGAATGATTTTCTTTTGTATGCATGACTCTGGTTCTCCCGAATGAATGCCTAAAGTCTCAGCAATATAAAAGAGACGAAAGCGTATTGCCTTTGTCAGATTGTTCCTGACTTTGTTAATGACTTTGAAGGAGGCATTTGTTGAGATGGAATGACAAGTGTTGACAAAGTGTTCTATTATGAAACTCCCTATAAAGCCACTACTGCCATTCTGCGACCATGTGGAATAATGTTCTTCAGTCCTTTTAGACATAATAAGCGTCGAACGACCAATATACCCGGCATCACAGACACAGGTGCACTGGTATATGAACACAGAAGTGGTCAAATGTCCTTAAGGCTTCTGCAAACCAGTGAACGACTACAGAAAATTACTCTGAGTGGTGCTGCGAATAATGTTCACCTGAAAGATGCTGGAATTCTTTTCACATAAAAATTGCAGAATAATTCTTTAGAGCTCTTACGTAGATCCACATTTTACTTCTTTCCTATGTGTATTCCTGGCGATGCTTGGCCGTAAAGGGAATGCCGAGAAAACACATTGAACTGATTAAGGCACTCTACTCGAAATCATGCAGCCAGGTAAGGGCTTGTGTCGAGTTGTCATCTAAAGTGGTGACGACTAGTGGTGTCCGATAGGGATGCCCGTTATCTCCACTTCTATTCAATTTCATCATAGATGTACTGGCGGATTTAACCCTAACTCACTTTAGAGACTCAGGGATTAAC